AAAGAGATGTATCTTTGCTCTGGAAATTGTTATTGAATATGTTAAAGCTGTAAAGGAATGCTTCTTCTAATCATGTGGTTATTAAATAAATTTTAAAATGTATTATCTAATAATTTTTAAAAAGTATATCTGTAAATACTCATTATAGAATGTGTTATAATAAAAACAGAAATAGTTTTTTAGGAAAAAAATGTGTAAATTACAATGACAAAGATTATAGTGATTCTATATTAAAATAAAATTAGCCTAAGTATTTGGGTTTGATAAAAACTTACTTATGATCTCTAGATAGGCTGACCAGACTCCAGTAGATGAATCTGCACTGAAGGACATCTTGGTACAAAGGCCTGATTGGATGGGACTGAACATCTAATCAGTGGAGTATAGTGGAATGCATGAGATCCCCCCGGGGGGGCATTAGATGGGGAGGGGGAGTCTAAATTTGATTAAGAACTGTTGTATGACATGTACAAAAGTTCAAAAAATATTTTTTAATGTAGAAAAAAATTAACTATCTTGATTCAAATTCTTAGTGAATAAACACGACAAACTTTTTTTGGCTTCTAAACCCAGCCCCGATGATCAATGATAAAAATAACTGCTACTGAAAAAAGGTTTTGGCAAGATAAACGTATACCCAGATCTAACCACTTATCACCATTTGCATCACCAATGTGAAATGTCATGCACTTTTTAACTGAATTTCTCTATAAAAATATCAATATTAAATGAAGTCTAAGAAAATAAAACTATGTTTAAATATATACCTTTTCATACCCAAATATACATGTTTTCTGTCATCAGGCGCACACATATTTCTTTTCCTCACTGAACATGATATTGTATCAAAACATTTTCCTTTTTTGTCTTTTTGACTGGTCTGTCCTTGAACTCACAGAGATCTGCCTGCCTCTGCCTCCTGAGTGCTGGGATTAAAGGCGTGCGCTACCATACCCGGTCCTCAAAACATTTTCACTACATAGCTTTCATAATTAAAACGTCCACTTCATTGATTTTATGTCTTTGGCTCAAATGTATTTGATTCTAGTTTTATTATCTTAGTAGATTAAATCACCATATGACTGTCAATATTAGTAGGATAAAAAACACCCTTTGTCTAGAAGGGTTAAATCAGCTCCTCCTTATCACCTGACTACTAACATCTACAATAGCTCAGGCAGCACCAAAAACTGAACAGAATTCCAAGGCTCCACATCAGTTTGCCCAGGTCCTGGTCTCTCAACTAATAATATTAAGAAACAGGACAAGGAGGTGAGACAGTTCAGTGGTCAAAAGTGCACTCACATACATGCAGGCAATACACTCATAAAATAAAAATAATAAATATTTTTTTAAAACAACAACAAAAAAAAAAACAATCAGGGAAACGAACATGTGCTGGCATTTTAGTTTATTACTACATCAAAAAACAAAATGCTCAAAGCTTAATGGGTTGAAGAAAACGAGTTCTATCTATTGATTCTGAGACCTGAACCAGAAAGGCTCTTTTGCTCACTGTGAGGAATGTACAACTGGACTGTCCAGGA